CCCCACCCCCGCCTCCGCCAGGGCCAGGAACTATTTTACTCCCTTTACCTTATATCTGCCAGCTGTGAGACCTTGGGCAAGTGACATGTCCCCTCGTGTATGTTCTCTGCATAGCAACAGTGTCTGGTGGCTTAGGGTTTCTGTGACAATTAAATGAGTTCGTCATTTTGGGCACATGGTGAGCACTCCACAAATGTTAAGAAAAAAGTCATTTCCCCAACTCTTCCTTCTACCTCCTTCTCCTTCTGAACTCGAGCAGCCATTCTGATCCTAGACTCCATCCCAGGAATTCTCAAACCATCAGGAGGCGAGGAACTCTCCCAAGAGTATGCAAAGCGGGGTGTGTGTGTGTGTGTGTGTGTGTGTGTGTGTGTGTGTGTGTGTTTCCCAGGGAAAGGGTTCCACTACTTTTTATCAGCTTTTCAAAGAGCTCTGGGGCTAAAAATAATCATAATAAAGGATCCCTATCAAGCACACCTGAGTCAACTCCTGACAGGTTCATACTCTAGCTGCGTGGACCAAAGATTTGAGATCATTTTTTTTTAAGATAAAATCATACAAAGATAAAATGAACAAGTGCCAAAGTTTTAACTCACTAATTAATGAGGGAACCACAACAGTGGCATCACAGGGAGAATTGGAAAAATGGATACACATCTAGGCAATCAGGAATGCTGCTGTGAATTACAAAGAGAGACACAAAGGGTCCTAGGCCAGAGAAACACAATTGCATCTCCGTGGGACACAATTCATTTGCATTTCTATGGACAGGAATCATTTGTCTTGTTGCCAGTTCTACAGATAAAGAGTTGAAAAACAGCTCAAAGACAATGAAGGGTGCAGAAATCTGGGAAGAGTAGGCTAGACAGAACACCTAGCAATTTTTTTATTTATTCTTTATTGATTAAAGTATTACATATGTCTCCTTTTTCCCCCATTGACCTCTCCCTGACCACTCCCACCCCCCAGCACATGCCCTCACCCTCCTACTGTCTGTGTTCATTGGTTATGCTTATACGTATGCACACAAGTCCTTTGGTTGATCTCTTACCCGCTCCCCTCCCTCAGCAATCTTTATATGCCCATTTCAGTCTTTCACGATTTTTCCAGACCCGAAGTTGCGAATCGCTCTGAATCTCACCTTCATCATCCATTAAATGGGGATGACAAGACCTGCCTGGGAAGTTAGCTGTGAGGTGATATCAGATGACACAGGTAAATGTTTTGTATTTGTCCAACACTATGAATTTAGAAAATCATTCTTTACTGCCTCTCACACTCTAGAACTCAAAAGGTTTATACCTAGAATGTGTTTAGACAGACAGTAACATTTCTTTAATATCCATTGACTTTTGACAGTTCAGCTGTTAAGAAGGTGGCAAGCCATAGAAAATGGACAAAGAGCAGAAATTAGAGATTCACAGGGAAAACATACAAATGGACACTAAACACATGAAAACGTTCTCAACCTCATTCATAACTTTCAAATGTCAATAAAACAGTATGAAATGCATGTTTTACCTTTCAGATGGGCAAGTATGGAAAAGTGTTGGTGAGGGGGTGGATGAAATAGTCACTCTCACAATAAGGAAGCGATAAGCCGTATTCAGAACATGAGCTAGTAAGCAGGATGAATGATTCTGGTTCTTCAATAAATCTATCGCATAGAAAAACCGGGGGCAGCTGTTAACAGAATGAAAGACACTCAGAAGACAGAACAAGCAAAAGCAATATATGAATCGTTTTGGCCCTAATTTTTAAGAAATAACCATAAGAAATTCTTAGATACAATCAAGGAACTCTAACTATGGACTAATAGAGGGTACTGAAACCTTCTATTAATTGTGTTAATTGCTGAAATCAC